GCTCGGTACAAGGACCGAACAACACAGCAGAGCCCACGCCAGAGGTGCTCGGTACAAGGACCGAACAACAGAGCAGAGCCCACGCCAGAGGTGCTAGGTACAAGGACCGAACAACACAGCAGAGCCCACGCCAGGGGTGCTCGGTACAAGGACCAAACAACACAGCAGAGCCCACGCCAGAGGTGTTCATCTCTCCAGCGCAGGCTTGCTAGTCCCTGCCTCCTAAGGTCATCCACAGACAGGCTCCCCAACGCGACGGCACTTCCTACTCATGCAGATCCCCTTTCCATCCTCTCTTAAGAGTATCCAATGTACACAGTCCTATTATGAAACTAATTTATAGCTTTCATATAAACTAATTTATAGCTTTTATTAAATGATAGGGGAGGGGAGGGGAGGGGGGTAGAGGGGTAGAGGGAGGGTGATTCAAGGGATCACCTCTATGGTTTATCTTACAAGGGTACAAGTGAATATTTCTAAAAGTAGAATATAAACGTCTTAACACAGTAACTAAGTTAATGACATGAAGGCTAAGTTAACCAGTTTAATGAGAATATTTCAAATTGTATATGAAAACACCACATTGTACCCCATGATTGCATTAATGTACACAGCTATCATTTAATAAAAAAAGAAAGAAAGAAAAGAAAGAAGTTGATTCCAAGCTAAAGCCTCATCTGGAAGAAACACCCGATATTCTTTGTTTCCCCAAAGGTGCCTGCCAAGATCTAGTTCTCAGCCCCTATTTGGTCAGTCATGGTCTCTGGCAAGGGCAGTTTGGGAGGCATTTGGATTAAAGGAGGGAAGACTAAGACATCCAGTTGTCAATCAACATGTGACGCTAGGCTCCCTCCTGATTTACTATCACAACGCCTTCTCCCACCAACAATTTAATATTCTGCATTTGAAAATCTGATTTTCTCTCCCAGGACCTAAGCCTGACAAGGGCAAAGACAGTGTTTGACCACCTTTGTGACTCCCAACAGTATGTGCTACAGCACACCCTGACCTGGGTAACAACTGCCAGCTAACACATTCCCTTAGAAGATGACTTAGGGTTGCCAACAACCATTAGGAAAATAAGCTCTTTTCCAGATGGATGAGACCTATGTAAATATATGCTATTTCCAAGCACTAACCGAATCAGTAGAAAACTGATATTAGTAGCTACATCTCTCAGTAAGAAAGCGGCACATTCGGCCCTCTGGCTGCATTTACCTGCCTCTCCCTCCTCCTCGCCCAAGTTCAGCACGATGATGCAGATGTGCTTCCGCAGCTGGCGGGTGTTGGAGAACTTCCGACAGCACTTGCTACACTCCAAGCTGCCTGGAGCCAGGCTGCTCCCCTCCTCAGCAGCCAACGGGCAGTCCTCCGGGGGACTCACGATGTTTTCTGCCAGCTCCTCTTCGGCACTGGCCTTCTTCGTGGACCCCTTAGGCCTGCCTCTCTTCCTCTTCATGACCAAAAACTCTACAAAGGAAACAAAAAGACACAAAGGAGTCACGCGAGATGACAGCACAGGGCTTGTACTCAGCTTCCGCATTTTGTTATGAGTGAAAAGTCCGAAGCAGTTCCTGAAATTAATAGCTGCAAAAAATCCTCTTTAGTGTTAATACGATTATTTTTATACTAACAGGTAATCAATTTTATAGTATTCTGACTCAAAACTATCAGCTTATCAGGCCCTTTGCACGTCCTCCTTCTACAGAGCTGGGAGGATTTTCTCTTTGGCCTATCAGCCCCCAGGTCTCAAATCCAGACCCTTGTTAGCCGCCCTTTCTATTGAAATCCAGGTCTCAGAAACTGCTTAGGGACGTCTTTACAAAGGGTTGGTAAAGGCTGCTGAGCTTGTCATGCTTTTAATGAGTTACACTATTCAGATAATTTCAGAGTCATAATTATTACAGTCAAGTTGTCCTGGTAAAAAAGAGAAAAAATAATTACAATCTAAAGCCACAAATTATAGGACTAAAGATAATAACAATATTTTTCAAGTTTCCTAGTGATTTCAAATGGCATGATGAGAGATGCGGTAGAGCAAGTTCCAAATTATTTTACAACTTGCATTTATTCCTTAATTAGTGTTCATTTTTAAGGCCCTGGTCCCCACAATGAAGGTGGGGATAAGGAAGGGTGAGCAGGGCAGTGAGCAGAGCATCTGCACACCTGTGTGAAGGTGGAGAGCCGTGGTCTTAGGGGATGCGACGGGAACCGCCACCATCGGAGTGGGAGGAAGAGAGATGCACAAGGCAGTTCCAGGGCAGAGTCTGCAGGGACAGGGCAGCCTAACACTGCAGGCTCTGGAGAGAGAAGCCTGCTTTGGCATGAGGTCCCCAGGATCTCAGGGAGAACAGGCATTAGCACAGGGCAGGTGACATCCTGGGAAAAGGGGGCCCTTGCTGGAACAGAGCTTCTGCTGAGCTGCAATGCCAAGAATGATTTCTCCAGCCCTGGCTAGGAGATCCAAACCAGAGCTTTCTGTGCCTGGCAACCAGCACTACTACAGCCTTCGCAGCCCCCAATCTCCCAGAGGAAGCACAAAGGAGGAAAGGTACTTAATGACAGGAAAGCAGCCAACAGTGGACACATGACCCGGGATCTTTCCCTGGGTTTCACTGGGGAGAACCTGCCCAAGTGTCCAAGAGGAGGGAGGGGAAGGGAAGAAACAGCAGGTACAGAGCAAGGACCGTTTTCTGCAACGTCATTAAAACTTTTCTTATCAACATTCTTTACAACATGGACTTGTATAACCTACGGGAGCAGCAACTAGTATCAGAGAAGCAGAATTAGCAGTGAGGTTCTAAACGCCCACTTCTCGTCACGTCAGTGGAGCTGCAGAAACATGGTGCACAGCAGTTTACTGCAGGCTGTGGCACAGGTCTAACCTCCAGTGACAGAGTCTGACACCTGCCTGTGTAGATATAAGCCACTTCTCTGAGATGCAGCTATACAGTGAAGAATTAAATTTACCTAAAAAGAGGTCTGGCCTCTGCCCATCACTGTCAGGAGATGACCTGTAGGCCCCTGGATGTTCTTCCTGATAGGATTAGCAATTTGTACACCTGGAGACTTCGGTCACCAAACAGTGGGATTTGTGATGAGGACTAAGGGTCAATCATGTGGGCAGCACATCACTGAGGCCCACTAAAAACATGAATGCCTGAGGCTGCAGGGCGACTTCTCTGATTAGAAATACTCAAGTGTAGTCACATATTGTAGCCAACTTTGTCCAGGACTCCACAGGGGCCCAAAAGCTCTGTGTGTGGAACCTTTCCCATCCAAGGGTTTGCCGAGGCCTCTCTCCCTTTGGCTGCTCTGGATTTATATCTTTTGGGTACAATAAAATTATAATCATAAACTTAGTGCTTTCCTGAGTTCTGTGAATTATTTCAGTAAATTCTCTAACCTGAGGAGGGTCTCAGGGACCCTCAATTTGCACCTAGCTGGTCAGAAGCAAGAGTGGCCAAGGGACCTCCCAACGTATGGCTGGTGTCAGGGGTTTGCACAGACTTGGCAGTCTTGCAGGGAACTGTGGCCTTTGCCCTCAGTTTGGCAAACTCGTGTAGCAGGTCCAAGGTGTTTCCAGCAGCCATGGTGCGGTGCCTACTGTGTGCTTGCCATGCACAGGAGCACAGCACAGTCAAGTTCTGCCCACAAGCTGGAGACTCCTTGAAGGGACAGTCCTCGTCCTGATCATTTTTTACCCCCATCAGCACCTAACTGTGTGCCTTGCACAGCAGGTTCCCAATAAATCTGGGTGAATTAAAACTGATGAAAAGTGCACAGTCCGATGGGGAGGAAGAAGTAGAATCAGCCCTGAAAGCTCTGGAAAGCCTTACACACAGTAGTGATGAAAGTAATCTTCCAACCTGCTGCATCCATAATTCAGATTCTCAAGACCAATTAGTTAGCTAAAAATGAAATATTCATAAATGAACTTGGAATAATTTAAGCACTGAAAATGAGTTGCTGCTGTCAACTACCCACATTTCACGGAAGAACTGCGAATCTTTGAACTGGGCAAGGAAAATCAGGTAACCTCTAAATCAAAACACTTCAACACAATTAGCAGCAATTCCTCTTCCTCCTCCCGAATTCCTTTATTCACTCTGCCACTGAATGCTGTGGATTTTGCCTGAAGACATCTGCCCAGTCAATTCCCTTCTCCCTCAACCCCAGCAACTGAGCCACCCAGGCACCTGAGCAGGGTCTCTAGACACCAGGCACCCGCTCCAGCTTCTCTGCCTCCATCCCCTATGGCCTCACTCTAGGGCCTTCCCGTGCTCTGGAGGGCTTTGCCACACAGCTCTCAGACCTGGTTTTCTAGGTCCTTCAGCACACGGTGCAGTGATACGTGTATGTGCACACAGAAGCACAGAGCTCCTACCTCCCCCTTTACCACTCAGTCCAATTTTCTAGATTTCCCCAAATATGCACAGATAAGCCCTATCTCTTCTCACTTACCACCTGCCCTTCCCCCACCCCACCGCCTGTGACTACCTCCTTCACTCCCAGTCTGACTCCAAACCCCAATTCCAGTCCCAACGTTTCCGCTCCAGTTCTAACTGCAGTGTCTGTTCCAGGAGGTGGTCCCCAGCTACAGAAGCAGGACACCCAGGCCCTTGACCCGACTCACATTATGGTGGGAACCACAAACACAAAGGTGTGTACTCACCCACAGTGTTTCTTGATAATGTCTCTTTTCCCACCTTTTATCATAAACCCTGGGGTTTGACAGGTCTTTTAATACCCAGGTCCCATAAGGTCTTCAAAAGAGCTGGCTATGGCGTAGCTGCTTAATAAATAACCATACACTGCAAAGTGATTTGATGAGCAGGAAAAAACATTTGGAAAATAAGTCCTTTCTTGTGACACACTCACGTTTCTAAGAGGAAGAAAGGGTCATCTTAACCCTGTTCTAAAACCATCGTTTGAGGTCAGCTTCCTCTTAGTTGGGGAAAACTGCCCTTGCAGATCTAAGGCCCCAAACTGGAAAGAGACAGAAAGAATCAGCTTTTAAATTCAATAGAAATACATGAGAAGTATGAAAAAAATGGTCCAACATTATCAAAAATTTAATAACGCGAGCCCTTTATTTGCACATCACTTGAGTTTGCAAGACACTTTCTCAGCTATTGTTTCATTTTATCCTCATAAAAACCTTACAAGATGGATATAACAAACATCATTTCTTCAACAGAAAAAGAAACAAGAAACCCAAAGGTTCAAATGACTTGGCACATTTTCTATAAATAGCTGCTGAGCACATGGAACCCAAATAAGGATTTGGGTTTCCTTATTCCCATCAAATCTTTCTGCAGAATCAGATACCCTCAGGGCCTGGGAAACAAAGGTCAGCTCTAGACGTTTCAACAGAGCCAACACATACGGTATAGAGAACATATGTGACAACCTCCTTCACTTCTAGTTTGGTTTGGAGTGAGGCAGAACTGGGTTCAAATCCCCCCGAGCCTTCAGCTTCCAATGTGCAAAATAAACACAAAATTGATTCTATTGTATAAAGTCACCACTGATAAAAGCAATCCATTGCAATGCTGAGCACAGTACTCAGGAGGTGATTGATAAATGGCAACTGTTTAATATTGGGGCCACAGTCATTAAGATTCTAACTCAAAATATTCCTTTTAAGAAGCTATTACCTTCCCAGCCTGTCCACTGTTAGATAATGTGATTCCTTGATGCACAAGGATTCTTGTTCATTCTGACTCAATATGCATTATTTCTGTGATTTCTTCATTTTAAAATAGCTCACACCCCAGGAAATCTAATATAGAATTAGAAGCATACAAATTTTATTACACCTAAAACCCTTGGTACAGCCAGCCCCCAGCCCATGCACCAGGCAGCTTAATCTCTAGTCACGCCAACCTGAGAATTTCCAAAAACCCAGAAAGACTAACATTTTAGGGCCCTGACAGTCAATCTCCTTGACATTTATTTCCAAAGCCCAGGAAGCAATAGGGGAGACAATGAATTATTTATCAGAAATGGGATAGAGTGAGCCTTTTAGGTTTATGAGGAATGCAACATCCCCTTTGTAGGGACAGACTGCATTCTGTTCTGCAATGCCAGGCAGAGGGGGGGAGAAGGCTACCCAAGCCTGCTCCTTGGAAGCTGTACCATGGAAATGCCATGTAAATAACAGCGGTAATTAATAATTACTAAGGACGTGTATTTCAGGCATCATATCTTTCCTCACTTAATCCCGAAGGGAGGAATTAGTACTATCCCCCATTATATAATTGAGGATACTGAGGTTTAAAATGATTACTTAATTAGCCCCAAGATCATGAAACTAATAAATGGCAAAGCCAGGATGTGAACCCAGACCTGTTTGTACCTCAGAGTCAGTGAACTTCATACCTATTTCAAAGCAAATCCTTTGGCCAGTTAAGTTAATGTCAGAGCACAGAAATAACCCACTTTGACCTCTACTGTTCTGCGGGAAA